AACTAGTATTAGTTAATATGATACTTACTAAATCATTTATTGATGAAGATAAATGACTATCTTTCGATAAATATGTTGATGGCTGAAAATAATAATACATTTCAATGAAATCTAGCATGATTATATTTATCATGTGTGGAAAAAACAATATAGATTCTGGTACACGATTCATTACCTGAATTTGAGTTTCGCCATAAGAAGTTGGCACCATCGGCAATTGTTGATATTCATAAGCACCAGTATTTGATGCATAATAACCACTTGGACGTGATTCATATCTTTCATAAGGTGAAAACTAAATATTTTTATTAGATTTTATTTTTCTTATATTATTTTCGTCATAAAGACTTACTGTTTGATGAGAGGCATGAGATTGATATTGATTTGTCATTGGAGGTTGCGATGTTGACACATTATAATTAGTTGAACCTCTAATTGGATTCACCATCATCGTTTGTTGTGTTCGATTATGAGGATTGGAATAAAAATTATTTATTGATTCGTAAGACATTATTAATGAAAATTATAAATTTGAGAAAACATATTATTGATAAGAAAAGAAATGACAACAAGAATGAAAACGTTCTTTTTGCATCGAAAATAAGAGATTCTGTATTATTGAACTACATATAAGATAGAGGTCGTGAGATAGATTTCTTATCAGATTAAATTGTATTGTATTGATAGATAGAATTTTAATAGAAAATAATTTATACAAGAACGATCTTGAGTTTTCTCAGTGAATCGGATTTGTTCTGTTTGATTGACCAGCCATGATGCAATAATTTAAACCTCCACTTGTGACACATGATTGAATAATTCAATTATTCTGAAGTTACAAGTATTATTTTATGAAAAACATAGATAAAAGTAAAAATTAAAATAAATGTCAAATTTTTATGAGAATATAAATATATATAAATATATGTCAATATTTATCTTTGATTGGTAATTCAAACACCAATAAAATCAATCATGTATATTTATTTGGTTGTATTTTCAAGTAATATTCTCTCTTTCTTTATCACTCCTTTGTGGTATAAGAAAAACACTATTGCATGTCGTTGTGGAATGATAAGTTGACACAATATCTATGCATGGTATCATGATATTGTTTTTTTACCCGAAGAAAAACTACTAATAGCTAACTGAAATTAAAAACTATCAGACATATGAAAATGAAAATGAAAATATAAAACAAAAAGGTATAAAAGCAAAATATGATAAGCTGTTGTAGTTGAGTGTTTTTCATTCGTCTCAGCTGATTCTTCTGTTTCACACTGTACTGTAGTTATCTAAATTATTTAAGAAGAAAATCAAGCACTAATAAAATCAATGTACGACAATACAAAATATTACTTATTGAAATAAATCGGTCATTATCCTGAATTATAATACGTTGTAAATCATTTATATCGGTTTGAGAAATGATTTGTATTGATTTGACTATGATAAGAAAAAAGTTTCTTAAAAATGCAATTAACTTCTCTGAAGAATAAATGAAATATTCATTTACACCATTGGATTATACTTGAATATTCGATAACCAAGAAAATTTATACTGAAAAAATTAGTTTTCTTCTAGAAACTATTAATAATTGAAGAACTTATTCGTCATTTGTGAAACATTAAAGTAGTCTTCTTCAACATAATATCTCATAATTTTTATTGCTTTATTCATAATTTTATGTTAGATAATGAGTGAAATTTGAAAAAAATAGTAAACGCAACGTACTATTGCTAAAAATACGAATTATACTTAGAATTAATGGCTTTCTATAAATTGTCATTATGTAATTTTAGTTTGGAAAAAGAATCTTGCAAGAACTTAAAAACGAATTGAATGAAAAATAATACGAACTGTTAGAACTTACACAAATGTGGACAGCTGATTCACTTAAATAAACTTTACATTTATATACTGACTGTATGTCTACGCCAAATATATGTCGAATTGAAGTTATTGATAAATTGATATCAATAAAAGATTGAATCTAATAGAAAATATAAAAATTTTAATGGATCTTCTTCACTATAAACAGAAAAAGTTCGAAACAACTCTTCAAATATTTTTAGCAAATGATTCTTCACTTGCATATGGAAAAACACATCATTTTCATCGACCGTGAACATTTGATATCTCTCAGAAATATTGAAACCTTTATATTGATCAATGAACACAAGTTAGCTGTTCTTTGCAAAATAGAGTCGATAGACTTCAAATTCGACGTTTAAAATGTGATCCAATAGATAAACAACGTAACAAGTTCGATGATCATATGTGTAAAATGTTTCAAAATGAATAAATCCTACTGAGTGAGGGATATTAAAATTTTATAAAACGAATTATATGAAAATTTTCTAATTCAATTAATTATATTTTAATATGAATCATGAGGAGCAATACTTACTCTGTTCATGAGTAATAATGAACAACTTACCGTTGAAAAAATATGGTTTAGTAAACGGATTAAGCAAAACAATATTTAAATCTTTTAATCAAAAAAAAAATAGATCTATACTGGAAATAGTAGGTAAATTTAAGATAGATAGATTAGATATTATAGTTCGTTTTTTTGGTACAATAATTGTTGAAACAAACTACTAAAGATGATTCAAATTCAACCATAAGTTCTTCACAATAAAAATCAATCGTCAAGATGTAACAGTTGTCATACAAGTAATAACGAACAAACGATGTAAAATTTTTCAATTCCAAACTGACATCATTATACCACAAAGTTACACAATCTTAGCTGATGCATCAGAAAACAATCGCACAATCGTATAAAACTTATGGATTATCAGCAATTCAATATATAATTGTGACGTACTAACTTTAATATGACCATTTTTATCGACGAATTCATCACTTTAACAACTTCATGGTGGTTCAAGTTACACAACAAGTCGTCGTGCTTAATATTTACCTGAAATGTTCACATGAAATAAAGCATTAATCAATCTATGGCTTTATAACGATAAAATTATTGACAGTGCTAGGGTGGATGAATGGGGAAGACCTAGTGATGAGCTGCCCAGAAATTTTAAAATTTGCGAAAACTCTCGTCAATGAAACAGTAGTTACGAAACCTATGCGAAAATAGATCTCTACCGCGATCTACTAGACTCTTAGGTTACTCTTCCGTTACTTCGCATTTTCTTTCGTAACATTTCGTTTCTTAAGAAACTTTAACTTCCAATCACTGTTGGTATGTACCAAAGCACGGTCTGGATGAATCGATGATAAAGACGATTCATTCTGAATTTCGATCGCCATTTGAAGTGTGCGAGCGCTCTGGAAAATTCTTGCCATTGGATATATATCGAATCGCTATTTATATGTAGTTTCGCAAGATTGTGATCGTTAGTAGGAAAGACGTTTTTTTGTATTTCGAGCAATTCTTCCCAATGTTTAAGTACAATCGAGTATTTTTCCATTTGTTGATATATTGAAGCGATTTCACAAAGTGATGAAGCTATATTGGAGTCATATGATGGTAGAAGTTTTCGTCGAATCTCCCAGTGCTTGTGTGTGATATAAGAGTGCAATTGGAAAATGTTCCAACTTTTCATTAGCCAAAGCAACATTGTAGTATGATCTGGCAAGGTTTAAATTATTGAGTTCAAGAAACTGTAGAATCTTCTGTGCTCCGTGGTAATGTATAATTGTATTCGAATAATCATCAAGTGAATAGTACGACAAACCAATATGAGTGTGCAAACTAGCACATGTTGTATAATTTGATGCAACAGATTTTTGTTCAATGTCAAGCGCTTTTTTCAAGTATGTGCATGCAGTTAAAGACTCTTTGATTCTATTTATAAGACCAATCATGAAAAGTGAATTAACTATCATCCAATGATTGAATGGTAATGATTTTTCTTGAATTTCTAGCGCCGTCTGGTAGTGTGAGAGTGCAGTTGAATAATCGCCTAATTTAAAATGCAATGAACCAATAGAATAATGGGTTAGGACAATATCATAATGAAAGGGTGTTCGAGATCTTTCTTAAATTTCGAGTGCCTTTTTTAAGTGTTCATATGCAATTGCATATTTTCCCAATGATTCATAAACGTCACCAATTGACAAATGTACTAATGCGCGAGACGGATGAAGCAGTGAAAGACAGTGTTGTTGTATATCAAGTGCTTTCTCAATGTAATGTATTTCATCGATGTTTAAATTCAATAATACCATTCTATAAAGATCGGGCGAAGAAGATTTTCCCCATATTTCAAACGCCATTGCGTATTATGAGAGTGCACTTGTATACTGTTTAAGGTCTTTATGTACAATACCAACATTGTTGTAGAAGGAGACAAAATTATGATGGTTTGGTGGTAGTAATTTTTGATTAATTTTCAATGTCTTTGTGACATGTACGAGGGCTGAGTTGAGATTACCTTTATCACCTATAACCATCCTCAATAAATTATGTAATCTTGCAGAAACTAGAGCGTTGTTGTCGGCTTGTGATTGAAGAGCTTTCTTGAAGATGTTTTCTGTTCTATCTAATTCACCCATTTCCATTGTTAAATAGCTTAATTAGACCCAATATGGCCAATCTTTCATCTCTTTAAGCATGTAATCAGTAAGATCTTGTAATTGATCCTCAGTATCATTGATCAATACTAAATTTACTTTCCATAGTTGATTGTTAATTTCTTTCATCATACGGATACGAAACACAGCATGCATTGAAAAACTGAACTTCTTCTGCATCCTTAAAATATCTCATGCTATTTATTGAAGTACATGAAGTCGATGAAATCGATGAGTCAACGTCGATTTGAAAGACAACGCCTATATATTTCGTATTTTTTTGAATATCCTCTGCAAACGTCATTGTGACTTGTCGATCAAGACTGATCTATAGAAAATTATTGAACAATAGAAGGCCACCTTTGTTGTTGTTCATCTTCTCAAGTTCATTACTGCATATTCCTTGACCTCGATAAACGATTTTTATATGTCGATTGTCCGAATTCGAATTTAGTTACTGAATTTGTTGATGAAGATCTCGAGCAAAGAAACTCATTTTTATGATCATGCCAATATCTTGATTACGAAGAGCTTTGTTAAGTATCGAATAAATTAACCAATCTCGTGTGTGCCACCAAATAGGCGATGCCCCATTACGCAGTGATGTTCCATCATAATTTTGTTTGAATTCATCAGTCACTTGACATGTTTTTTCGTTGCCAGCATATTTTTCTCGTAAAAATTTGACAAAGTTTATTGTGTCTTGTGTATCAAAATCAATTTTCAAAAGACTTTCTTTGAGTAATTGTGAATACATGAATGATGAGTCGAATTGATCCATCAAGGAAAGAATGCTAATCAATGTCATGTCGATATGGAAATATCTTATTTGACATTGTCACATAACGCTTCAATTTTCGTGAAAATACCCTTGACTTTTAAATAATATTCGATCCAATCTTTATGCAATGGCTTATCAGCACAAAATACATAGACTCTATTAAGCTGATGTATTTTTTGTATGAGAGGTAAGAGTTTTTTGACTAGGACTATTAGATAAAATCATAGGTACTTTTTCTTTTTTTATATCACTAACATAATCCAAGCATTGATCAGTATCAATAAAAATTTTCATCGACTGAGCAATATGCCGAAATCGATCGGTTAATAATTGAATGTCTAGACTAAATTCATCAGTATTGGAATTCAACCAGATCACTATAAATTTCTTGAGAACATATTGCCGACGATGCCGTAAGTGCCTGCAGGTTGTTTTCTGAACATTAGTCGTTTTGTTGACACATGAAGTCATTCTAATAGGAGAAAATACTACATGAGAACATGTTAGCATTATATAAAGCGCAATAAAACAAGCTTCTTCTCCGCAAATAGCAGGATATCATTGCCTTACTTGTGTTTTCTTTTTAGTTTGTTCTGAAAAAGAAAATAACGTGAACGTTGATTGGCGTATGTTTCTTTTAATCTTTCTACTCCTTAAAATAATGTAGGTCATTCACTTCCAATAGAGCATGAAGCAACCTTTAGGTAGGACAAGAAAAATTGGAAAATGCAAGCACAAAGATAAATATGAGAAATAACAAGATGTCACCTAAAAAGAGTATTGAATTCGAAAGGTTTGGAAACATTTCTTGCAGTAAACTCGATCGTTTATCAAATGATAAAAACTATTTTGTTGTGTTGTTTTACTCCTGAGAAAAGGAATTGCAAATTAAATCAGTTTAAAAAAGCGATCACAATTTAAATATTTTCAAAAACTATGTTTTTATCAACAAGAACTTAACATTTGTACAACATATTATTCTATATATAAACGATTATAGTGTTTACTAGTAATATCAATATGTCGAATGAGTGTCATAAAAACTCGATATTTATGAGATGATTAGACACAAAATAGTCACTCGAATACCCATTCGGATGTGCGGCTGCGAGTACAAGGGTAGAAATAAGAAGAAACTACGCATGGATGAATTTCGACGCACAATTTCGTCCATGAAAATATCAGATATGCATAGTTACACGATTCAATCACGTTTCACTAATTGAGCTATAGATTACGTCTGAATGTTTGCATCTTGCTATCGATGATGATAGATTCCTTCAGCTTCATTCGCGAGGTAACCAGTTTCTCAACATATACGAAAGAGCACTTTCGCTTTAACATCATGAGTTCTGATAGATGCGATGATTTCTCTCCAATTGAAATTCATTCCGTTCAAACTAATGAATCGAAATAACTCTTGTGCAAACATTTGAAGTTTGCTCGAAACGGTGGTTCTTCACTGTAAAAATGTTAGTAAACTAATGAAATGAACGATAAGCATGAACTCTGTTTTTCATAGTCCTTATTCCAAAGCGTAAAGATAAAAAAATTTAGTTGGTGACAGTGTGAATATGTGTAGAGAAGACTAGCATACATTCACGCTTTCACTTTCAATCAGACCAACACTTGTCGAAGAAGCTCGAACCAAACAGATTTCGATTTGGTTTTATTCGGTTTCAAACAGAACTGATTCTATCTTAGCTTATACTACTGCTTTCTTTCCTCTTTCTCTCCATCTACTTACTGTTTTTATCACTAAAAAGTCACACAGCGAAGGTATCCAAGGTCGTAACAAAACAAGAAAAGAAAGAAAGATGCAGTAATCTGCAGTTAGTCATCATAGAAACGATGGTAATTTATATGGTGAAGTCTTATAAAATAAATATTCTTCGATAACAAATGAACGGCGTAAAAAAGAAATTCATTTTCAATTTTTTGATAGGAAAAGAGAATCAGAACGGGTAACTCGCAATGCTGTTGAATGAAAAGCGAGGCATTTTTCTTTCTCTACTGTTATTTTTGACTAGCGCACATGTCTGTTACACAGTATTTTATAAGCGATCAATATTTACATTTTTTGACGTTCATGGATGCAGTTTTCTGTATCGAAAGAAAAAGATGTAAGTAAAACAAGGCTCGGTGTTGAATCAATAGCGTTAATCATACACAGAAAAAAAGAGACTTATTCATATTGATTCTATTTTTTCTCCTCAGTTTGTTCTTGTCCTGTTATTCGTGATAGTTTATTTCGGCTCTTTGTTAGTATTTTCGAATCTTTTCAAGACATAAGCCGAATGACATGAATTTCTTCTTTAGCCGTAATATAAACCTAAATGCTGAGTGTTCAAATGAGTACATATACATATATATCTTGCTCATATCTGATCAACAATGCAATTTAATATTTCGACTCATACAAGATATTGCTGGTTACTTCAATAAACGACAACAAGATTTTTTTTTTTTTTTTTTTTTTTTTTTATTTACGCTAATCAAACGAAAGAGCTGGTGCCCAGGAAAGGCCTATCAGTACAAAAAATTTTTCGATCTTACAACGAGAGATAAAATAAAAAGGGGAAGAAGAAAAAATAAGAGAAGCGAGACACAAGAGAATGAATAATAAGATACAATAAGAAAGAGAAAAAGTAGAAGCGACTGAGAGAGAAACGAATGATCACACCAGATAGACTTGCATACCGAATAAGATATGACTGAAAGAGAGAAATAGAAATGCGCTATAACAACAGTTACACAAACACGATTAAAGAACACACGTTCGTGGAGAGAAACATAGTTAGAATGTTTCAGGATAAGCTTTTAGCAATTCGATATCATCATAGGGGATCTGTGCTATCGTGTCAGGATGAGGATTATCATCAAACCAGGATAGGCACTTTTGCAAGACCGATTCATGGTCGACGAATCTTCTCGATCGACGGAGCCACTTTACTCTCTGCCTGCCACTAAGCCAACTTATTCTATGTGAATTAAGGATCAGCTGTTCTATAAGCAGATCACCATCTTTAGAGGAGTCAAGTGCTCTTAAATATTTAATCCAGTATCGTGAACATCTATTTTCGAGAGAGACTTCATTCAGGGCGAATGCGAAAAAGAAATTTGGCCAATGTTGTAAATGTA